CATTTACAGCTCCAATTGAAGGTTTTTCTAGTGCCTTTCCAGTGGCGTGTCGCAGATTTTTCAATCGTGACTATTTTGGAATTATTGGAAGTTTCTAAATTTCTGAGTAACCAGCAAGGTTCAAATGTTGCACTTTTAGTAGAAAATGCGAGTCTTCTTCAGACTCTTTTAAAATTTCCGAAATTTCCCAGAGAATCAACGAGTTTCGACAAAAAGAGTGGCTGACTTTTGGAACAACAAAGATGCAATTTTCAAAGTTGCTTTTCTCAGAAACTATTGAAGCTAGAAAACTCATTTTCAGCTCCAATGAAAGGTTTCTGCAGTGCCTTTCCAGTGGAGTGTCGCAGATTTTTGCAATCGTGTCTATTTTGGAATTATTGAAAGTTTCAAAATGTCAGAGTAACCATCAAGGTTCAAATGTTGACTCGCCTCTAACTTGAAGACTTTTCAAGATTTTCCGGATTCAAAATCCACTTTGAAAAGAAAATTGAATTCGCCTTTAGACTCTTTTAAAATTGCCCGCATCGCCCAGAAAATCAACGAGTTCCGATCAAAAGAACGGCTAAATGTTTGCGGAAGCTTTCAAAAAATTGTATAGTTTTGGAAGGTTTTTCATCATGTTTATGTCCCTGGACTGTTCAATTTGGATCTCCAAAGTGCCATCACAATTTGCCTGATCACGGGGGCTGGTTTTCCAGAATTTTCACTTATTTAATAGTCCAATTAATTCCAATGCTTAATGTTGTTCAGTCTGCTTGATGCAAATTATGCTAGTGCAGAAAACAGCCATATTTTGTTTATTTTCGTTCTTCCACACTGTTTCCCCGGTTAGGATTGTGCGAAAAACAATATACAGGGTGATTTGTTAACGGCGCCCTGGACAATTCAGACCGAATAATTTTTTCCACATTAATCAAATTAACTATAAAACTATCAAGTTCCACAGCAGCTTTTCTGGTGCAGAGGGTGGATTTTACCCAATCTACTTAAGTATTACTTTAGCAACTGTAACCATTCTCAAGTATACAGATTTAGCATGGTTTATATTATATTAATATAAATCCTAGGAGAATCTGAACTGTGCATATCCGTATTTTTGTATTTATTCCAAATAGTATTCTGTACATACACTGTGTTTCGATTATATTTTGATGTCATTCGCTTTTGTTTTTTTGTGCATTTTGTTGGCCTTCATCCACTCGCACTCACACTGGATCTATTGAAATGTTTTTGGGAAAATGGCATGTGCATGGTTTAGCTTTGCATAGAGTGAAAATCGGGCAAAAGTGACTGAAATTCGCAAACACATTTCGTGCTTATGTCGTGCAGTTTTTTTAAATTCAGTTGCTGAAAATGGGTAAGTATGCAAGCCAAGGCATGTTTTTTACAAACTT